GCGGAAATTGCTTTGCCCGGACCAGCCCTACAGTGTCTCCAAGGCCGGGAGGAGCTCACACCAGAGGCAGGGGAACTGGGTGCCCCGAGCACCCACGGGGCTGAGAGGCAGCATGGGCTAGTGGCCAGAGCACAAGGCTGGGGACAGGCTGGAATTCACAAAGTCAGGCTCCGAAATGGTAAATCCAGCAGCTGAGCTTTGGCTTTGGGCAAGGCACAAAGGCGCCAGAGCTGCTCCCACCATCCCCCAGTTCGGTGGCTCTCAACCACTGTCCCTTCCAGGACTCGCCCACGCCCCAAAACTCACAGGGCCCTGCCCTCGGCTGGGATCTCCCTTTGCCCAGCGCCTCAGGCACGGCCCACGCCTCAACAGTGCTGACTAGACAAGTCACAGAATCGCGGAACTGACCGCGGAGAGACAGAAAATCGCCGGGTCATTTCCTCCGTGGCTGCCACGTGAGCCCTGGCTACCTCGGCCCTGCCCACGCAACCCAGCCCTGCCCGGGTCCCCCACAGAACCAGCACCTGCAAAGAAAGCCTGGCAGCACTGACCAGCTCGGGTGCTGAGGGGCTGGACCAGAGGAGCGTTCCCGCTCTCTAGCTGGAAGGGGAACTTTGCTATGCAGGCGGTCGCAGGCAGACGACTGGCTTGGCTCGGGGCAGACGGATTTTGTATTCCTGGCTGCACCCCTCCCCCAGAGTCCAGACACCATGGTCCACTTGTTTTGTTAGGACTCAGGGGCCCGAATGGCTGCATAGCGCCCAGAGACCCCCACACTCCAGGGGTCATCCCTTAGCCCGGTGATGAACTTCTTCAACGGGCCACCAGTCTGACAGCCACACGGCGCAGCGAGGTGGCAGAATATTCCCAGTGCCCGAGGCTTCCCGTGGTCACACCTGGCTGCAGTAGAGACAGACCCCTGATCCGTCCGCTCCAAGAAGCCCAGGCCTTGTCACTTGAGCTAGAGGAGGATCCCCATTAGCTAGTAGCAGTAGAGGGCCTATGACACAGTTACTATGTTACATTCAGTCCTGCCAAGGCATTGCAGCACAGCCTCCCCTTGGCAGAGCTGTATCAGAGAGGGGATCAGCAGAGCCATTGCTGCAAGGCGGGGGGGGACATAGACGCAAGCCAGGAAAGCCCTGAATCACCAGCAATTCCTCATCATGGTCCAGCTCAGGCCCTTCATCCCAGGAAATGAACTGCGCAGAAGAAACTGGCACAGGCCGTTCCACTCCAGCGCCTCTGAGGAAGTGGGTTTGGCCCACGAAAGCTCGTGATTCTCCGTGTTTCGTTTTTAAAGTTGCAGACTCACACGGCGACCCCTATGAAACCGTTTGTGCAGAAGGAGGTGACGTTCCCAGCCCCCACTTTCCTTCCCCCCACCCTCGGCAGGGCAAGAGTCTGAACACCACTGCCAAGGGGACACGGACATGAGCTCCAGGGGGTGGCTCTGCACTGCAGGGCCAGCCTGCTCCCGGGAGGGACACTGAGTTGCCTGTGGGGTCAGCGCCGGGTGTGCCAGCATAGAAGCAGGCGGGTAGATGGAAGGGACAAGGGCAGCACTAGAGTTGTGGTGTCCCGTGGCTCCCTGCCCTGAGGGCCCACCCCGAAGAGCAGCCTTGGACCAAAGGTGGCACAAGGGCTGATGGCAAGGGCTGCCACGCCAGAGCAGGCCCCCAAGCCCTAGCTCAGGAGTGTGGCTCTGCCCTGCACCCCACACACAACCGTGGACATGCCAGCGTCTCCCACGGCGCCGGCGCTGCCTTTCAGCCCAGACACCAGCATCTGTAAGGCACCTGGCAACAGACGCCATGGGCATCTCCCCTCTTGGACGTCACATTCCCTCTGCCCGCCCTAGGCCAGTGGCAATCCGGTGTGGCAAGGAGTTTGCACGGGCTGCCCGAGACCTTGGGTGGACTCATTAGACCCCAAAGCCAGCCAGCCTGCAGGTGTGCTACGCAGGACTGGGAACGCCCAGGGTCAGGGCTGCTAACTGCTTGCATAGGAGGGGCCTGGAAAACCACCATAGAGCAAGGGGGCAGCGAGCCGTGCCAGCGTCTTGTGCACCAGCACTAGCCTCCGAGGGCACACTGTCAGTCACCAGCCCCCAGGGTCTCCACGGGCCAGCACCGGCTGCACACAGCCCCCGCAAAACAAGGCCCCTGCATCACCCGGAGCAACACCGCATGCCATTGAGAACAGCCCATCTAGAACCCCCGGTTCCACACCAGGACAGGGTGAAATGACAGCCCAAAGTCTGAGCCGCGTGGATTACGCCAACAGCTAACAAGCGCCGGCACTTCTAGTTCGCCCTCCCTGCCCTAATGATGGGTTACTACCAGGCAGTTTCTTACCACCCCCTAGCACCCACTAGGAGACAGGAAGCAACTCGCTGGAGGGCACGCAGAAGCTCAGTCCTCTCGCTAGCTAGTTGACCCAGTAGGCTGGGAAGCACCAAGGTATAGCTCCATGGTACGGTTCATGCCACGGGACAACCTTGCACCCTTTCCCAGGGGCCAAAGCAAGTCGCTCCAGCGGATCTGGGTGAGATTTGCAGAGAAAGGAAAGTCAAAGCACAACAACGGGACCTTGCCAGAGTGAAACGGAACAAACCGCCCCAGCACTGAGCTCGGGGTTCACACCGGCACAGTGAAAGGACCAGCAGCATGAGGCAATCGGCCTAGCTCCTAATGCCGGAGCCGAGCCTGTGTTTTGTGGCTGGGCCCTACTGCTACTGTAAAGAGCTGCCAACATGGACCTGTAACACTGCCCACTAGTGGATGGAATCAGAACTCCTCCACTGTGTTTCATAGCCCCAATACTGCTCACTCACGGAGATTTTCCTTTAGCAAACGTGGCAGGCCTCTGGGCTTTGGAAGCTGGTGGATTTGCGCTCCAACCAGGCAGTGGCGAAATTCTGAGCACAGCCGTGTGATGAAAGGGAGGGTCCCAGATGGGTTAGCAAGAAATGGGCTACAACATGCACGTAAACTGAGCTGAAGCTCTGATCTGAAAGTGGCAGCCCAGAACCCAGTTCCTCCAGCACTGGAAGGGGTTTGGCATTGGCGCAGGTGCTATATGCAGATCCATGAGCCCTGGCTGCTGCGAGTTAGAGAGAGGGTTTGCTGGGGGGTTACGGATGGGAAAAGGCCTCCCTGTCCTGCTCCCTAAAAGCAGGCGCTAGCACAAAACAGACCCGCCCCCACCCCTCCCGGCGCAGAAACCCACCACAGGAAGCACTAGACTCCCAGGGCTCACTGCCACGGCTTGTAAGGCACCATGCAGCAGACTTTGGAGGGTCTGGCATAAAAGTCCATGGGAGCTGCAGGGACTCAGTGCTTCCAAAGGAAAGGTTATTGTAAGAGGGCAAGAAGCACAAGGCAGGACAGTCTGGGGTTTGGGCCTGCAGGGGATGTCAGGGAAAGGAGGCAGGTTATCGAGGCCTTGTGAGGTCCGGAAGCTGCATCAGATGCCCCAGTGGCCCTCCAGTGGCATCCCGGGGACCCTGTCCAAGCGAAGAATGCAGCAGAAAGGCAATTCAGTGACAGGGGATTCCAAGAAGGCCTCTTGCCTGGGCGCAGGGCAGAATCGAGTCAATTTCAAAATCAGAGCCTGAAAGAGCACCCCACACCTCACAACCGAGCAGCCGCCCCAGAGCCACCTGCCTCTCCCTAGGGGGGGAGGGTTCTGTCAGGGGTTCCGACTTCTCCATCCTGGGATGGAACGGAAGGGGGGGGGGGAAATGGCTGATGCAGCAGGGGCCCAGCCCCAAGTGCTGTGGGATTTGCAGCATGAGCAAAGAAGAAACTGCCGCCTCATCTCTTTAGGCTCCAGACGCCTCCAACTGAGCCAGGGCCCAGAGCTAGCTCTTTATCCAACAAGCCAGCCCAGCACCCCGAGAGGCAGGATCACCCCTTCATTTCACCACAGAAAGCCAGCACCGACAAAGCATCCACAGAGGGGCTTTCCCATCCAGGTAGCTCCTCCACCCCACCAGGAGAGGAAGTCCTCCAGGGGGTTGGACTGACCCAGCACCACTGCACAGCACCACGGCTAGTTATCTCATTTTTAAGTATCAACGAGGCCTGAGACACACAAGAGGTTAAGCGCCCCCCCCCCCCCCAGGGTCACAACAAACCAGCAGCAGAGTCCGGAGTGGAACCCGAGGCTTCAGTGTCCAGCCCTGGGTTTATTTCACCACCTTTTGGGGGATTCTGTCACTCCCAACAATGGAGCCAGAGAACCTGCCAAGCAAAACCTTCAGGGGCTCCAGAGATCTGAATTTAAATCCCAGGTCCACAACAGCCTCCCAAGGGGAACATTGGGCAAAGCCCTCACGACTTCATGCCTCAGTTTCCCCCACTTGTTCCTCCACCCTTTGTCCTGGCTAGTAAATCCTTTGAAGAAGGGACGGTCAGGGGCAGTGCCCAGCCCCCTGGGGACTTGAAAGTCCAAGAGACCCTCGCAGCCCAAGAGAAGCATCCAGTTCTGTAGGTCTGGGGTCCAAGAGCCATCCTGCTTTAATCCTGGTGTCTATTATCCAACCTGTCCTAGGGGTGTGTGTACACACACACTCTCTCTCTCTCTAACTTTGGGGCAGACAAGATCTGGGCACAATAGATTCCCCCCCTTCGCCGGGTTCGGCTGTGCCAACAGGGACAGGATCCCTCCCCGGGGTAAGGGAGGGGCTTACTCCAGATCTGCATCCTGCCTTTCCTCCTCTCCGATGTTACCCGCTGCCGAAGCGCTGGCCGGAAGGAAAACCAGTCCCAGCGGCAAACCCCGGCCCTGGGGAGGAGCCAGCGCCATGGGCTCGGGAGTGGGAAGTCACGGCCGGTCCTTATGCTGCGCGTATGGCCCGGGGCAGAGGCAGCCGGGAGAAGCCCCCTGGCCCCAGCCCATTGCATTGATCCCACTTCTCTCCCGCAAGGGGTCTGTGGCTCCCCCCGCCGCCCATCCCCGTGGCACCCGGGCGCCCGCGCTGGGGGAGGACTCACAGCACGCAGAGGGCGTAGGCGCCCGACACACTCTCGCTGTCCCGCACCAAGAAGCTGCCGTCTCGCCCCGCTCCTGGCCACA